CCAAAAATGAGATATCATATGAAACATTTTTGGAACTTGTAAACTATAGAATAGGTTTGCAAAGGATGATTATCCCCTAAGAGACCACAGTTGGGGAAATGTTATAGTTAAATAGCATCATGAAAGATATAGTACTGATTCTCTTAGGGAGGGCATTTACATCTATCACAGTGTTTAAAGGAGAGATATTTACCTTTTACAACAGTGAATATTTAATCACTGTTTTAACCAGCTTTTTCACTGCTATGACTAAAGGATCTGCCCAGAACAATTTTAGAGGAAAAAAAGTTTATATGAGGGCTCATGGTTTCAGAGGGCTCAGTCCATAGACAGCTGGCTCCATTCCTGGAAGCTCAAGGTGAGGCCTCATGGCAGAAGAGTGTGATGGAGAGAAGCAACCCACATGATGATCAGGAAGCAGAGAGAAAGGGACTCCATTTGCCAGATTCAAAATATATACCCTAAAGGCATGCCCCCAGGACCCACCTCCTCCAGCCACACCCTAACCATTTTCAAACACTACTCAGTTAATCTCATCAGGTGATTAATTGGGTTAAGGCTCTCATAGCCCAATCATTTCTCCTCAAACCCTTCTTGCATTGCCTCTTACATGTGCTTTTGTGGGACATCACACATCCAAACCATAACAAGCACTCATCAAGGTCTATTGATTTAAATTTCATAATTTTGCTTTCTTTAATCAAACCTTTTGTATCCTCTTGCCGCCACCCTAATTCAGAACATACTAAAGTTTAAATTATAGCTAGGCTACACTATTCTTTAGTGACATTGCTATCATGAAGAACTTGTGATTTCTTTCTTTTACAACTCTCAACCTGGGACTCACAGCAAAGTCAGTCACAGCTTTCACTCCAAAGCCTGAAAGATGCCTGACAGTGGAGACAAGTTGATCACCTGACTCTGGGATCAATTTTGACATGACACATCAGGGTATTTGTTGGTTTTTACTGCTAGCCCCATTAATGAATGCCCTTGAGATTTGCATTTAGAAACTGGATTCTTACTTGGCTCTTCTATATCACTGATGATTCCTTTATGCTCATCTCTTCCTGAGTCCACATGCTGTTTGCAATAATAGTTCTTGAGCCCCTTCATTTCCTTCAGAGAAGGGCTCCTAACACTAAATTAGAGTCACTGCAGCTGAATCTAGGAATCTGCTTATTGTGGGTCTTCTTAAAAATCTGTTTTTTAAATGTGTGAATTCTCATCACTTATTTGTTATGTAAACTACTTCAATTGTCACCTTGAAGATTTTGCTAGGTCTCTTAAGATCCTAATGATTCTCCACCTACCTTTACTTATTGCTGGGTCTGCTAGGGTCTAAAAAAGATTTGAGGATTAGGGACTAAATTTGAAGGTTTTGGAACTCTACCTTACTAGTTCACTCAGGGATTTTATTTTTGTAATTGACTTAATTTTTTTCTTGAATGAAATTTAATTTACATAGCATGAATTGCATAAATTTTAAGAACTACACTATGAGGAGTTTTGACAAATCTACATCCATATAATAACCCACATCTCTATCAAGTTGTAGAACATTTTCATTGCTTCATAAATTTTCCTCTTGCTCTCAGCATAGTCCCTAACTGTCTGCCTCTCCCTTGAGAATATACTTCTGATTCCTATCACCAGAGTAGTTTTGTCTGCTTGGAATTTCATGTAAATGACTACATGCGGTATATGCTCTTATTGTCTCATTTTTTCACTTATTATAATTTTTTTTGAGATTCCTCTATATCACTGCATGTTTTAGTAGTTCATTTTGAAAGTTTTAGTAGTTCATTTTTTTGTTTATAAGGGAAGGGAGAAGGGAGGGGAAGGGGAAATATTTGGGATTGAAGGAGAACAAATTATATTACATACTATTATAATTAGGTCATAGTATATTCTATTGTCATGTATAACTAAAAAGAACCAATAAAAAATAAAAGCAAGGGAAGGGAGATCTCTTTACTTGAAAAACAAGAGCTGTTCCTGAACACCTTTAACCCTGTCATAAACTGTACACATGCCATTAAATACTTGGACTTGTATACAAAGAATACTGAATTCAACACTACCCTTTTGAAAACAAGAACTTACATATTCATTTACTCATTTAAAACTCTTCTTTCAAGGCTCTCATAATTTATATTGCTATTAGAATTCAAGTCAGACATTTAATTAAATACAGTTTCATTTGGAAGAAATTTGAAAAGAGTTTGAAATAGTTAAGGTATTTTTGTATCTCAAAACAAAAATTCAAATATGTAATATTGTAACACAGGTTACCTGCATTAGCACTGGGTATCTCAAAACTCAACATTTCATTATAATTTTTGAGATAAGAAGTTTTTCAATGGGTAAAAGATTTATAAGCCACAGATAATTACAATTAATCATAAATTTTTACTGATTACCTATCATTGTAAGATCATATGTTCAGTTCCTGGAAACTTTCTTTCAGGGAAGACAATGAGAAATAAAAAGGATTAAGTCATAGTTAAGTATAAGGTGAGATATTATATATTCATAAATCTATAGTAATACACAATACAGGATGATTGACACCAAATGAAAAAAAGCTTTTATGAGAGCTTATATAGTGGGCACCCACAAGTATATTTCTCTCATGATAATTAGGTTGAATGATTTTTATATGCTTATGGATCATTTATAAATCTTCCTGTATCATTACCTGTTCAAGTCTTTTTCCAATTAAACAAAATGGTTTGTTCTTATTATTGAATTATACATTTTTTTATGCAATCTAGAATTTCATGTGTATTAAGAAAAATTTCAAATATGTGTCGAGAGTATTTTCTTGCCTATGGCTTGTCTATTCATTTTCTTAATGTGACTTTGGATAAGTGGAAGCTTTTAATTTTTATGAATTCTACTTAAAAATTATTATTTTTTAAATTGTTATGCTTTCTGTATCCTAAGAAATGTTAGCCAAGTCCAAGATCAGAAAGCTATTCTTTCTTCTAAGAGATATATTTTAGTTTGATAGTTTTATAGATTTTAACTGTACTGTTCAGGTGTACAACTTATTTTGAATTAAGGTTTATATTTATAATGTAAGGTAAGAGCTGAAGTTCATTGTTCCTCATTGATATTGAGTTATTGGGATTGACTTTTCCTATCCAAACTTGGGATACCGGGTAGGGATGTAGCTCAATGGTAGAGAGCTTGCCTAGCATTCCCTGGATTTGATTCCCCGCACCATGAAAACAACCAACCAACCTCCCAAAACTTAGAATCCAATAATTTAAAAGTCAGTATAACAATTTCTTTCTGTTATAATTGGTTGACTATCAGTCCATATTTTTGAATGAGATATTTATCATGTATAGACAGAGCCCGTAAAGACTAAAAGTTGGTAGTCAATTGATTCTTACTGAATTTGAAATTAGGGCAAAGGGACATGGAAAAACATGCTGTGCTGACTTAACTGACAGAAAAGTCATCAAAGTCTTTCATTTTCAAAATTCCTTTCTGAATAAAACAACAATAGCAACAGTGATACAAAAACAATAAAACCTTAAGTGGTCCCTTACAGGTCTATGATGTGTTTCAGTGTCTACAATCACTGCTGAGTTTAAATCTGTTGCACATTTTGTTTTTTTTTTCTGGAAAGGTGTGGAAGAAGCTTCTTATTCAGATAAGTATGCAAGTTATAAAACATAATGTAGAATCACATAAAACTCAGCACTATTTGGTTGCAGTAGATAGAAACTCGCCTCAAAGACGGGAGACAACAGGAGGGAAGGTAGGAAACAAAACAGAGGACTTTTAAGATTTTTTTTAAACCAAATGTTTCATGTAGGATGGAAAATGTTGTCACATTCTGAAAATATGGATGTATAAACAACTGTGGTTGTGCTCAGTTTGTAGTGATGAAAGTATATTTTACGTTGGTCAAATAAATGATGCTACAATATTTGATATACCAACAATAACAAAAAGAAAAAGAAAAAAAAAAGAGAAAGAAACCCACCTCAAAGGTATTTAAGCAAAAAAGGAATTGTATTTGATTATGTAGTTTGAGAAGTCAAGGCTTAATCATGGTTCAGGTAATCTATGCAGATACTGAACATTTTGCTTATGAGAGAAAAAGTTAAAACTTTTGGTAAATTTAATTTCTTTTTAAATAGTGGAACTAGCCAACAGATCTTGGTCCATGAAACTATTATTAAAATAGTGTGGAGACTTAAAAATACCTTTATACTGTCAAAGGCAGAGAAACTACTTAAATACGATATTTGCCCCCAATAGTAATAATGCAATTTGCATCACTTTTCCAGATAATTATCTATAATTAGAAAAAAGAAGCCTGATTTGTTAATTCAAATCATCAGTATTTTCTTTGTACACTTTAAATGCAATCTAAGCCTCAGTCTCTTGAGTTTTATTTAAGTGGGTATTTTTTCCAGGATTTTTATGACAATAAGAACACAGAACAGAGAAATACTGTTGTGCAAATGACCTCTGTGGTCCAGGTGAGACTTCAATGCTTGCTTCTTCTCCGAGTTCATGACCATCTCTCATTTGTTTTGACATTTAGAAAAATACTGCATGTTTCTCCCCCTGCTGTTTGCAAAAAGCTGAGGTAGTTGAAAAACCGAGGTTGGCCGCATTTCCAGTGTTTTTTGTTTGTTTGTTTTGCTTTTGATCTGCTGATATTTGTTTCCGGTGCTGCCATGCAAACGACCAGAGCTGCATGGAGTGGACTGTTTCTCCGTGCTCTGCAGACTGGCTCCCCCGAGTAGTCGCTGATATGGGTGCCTGTGAACCCTACTTCTTTACATTTTGCCTGCTCCTCATTTCGCCAGAAAACACAGAAGCTGTAGCTGCGCATAGACTTTTTCCTTTTTCTTTTTCCCCCTCTCACCCCTCCCTAGACCTCTCTGGGCTTTGACGTCATGTGTGCTCCTTTCAGTTGCCATAGCAACCCCATTCCCCAAGCCCTCTGTCCGTCTCCTCTGGTAGGTTCCACAATGGTACAGGCAGCATCACGCTGCACAATGGTTTCCAGGCAGTGAAAGAGGGTGATTCAGCAAGCCACTCTCCTTCTTCTTTTTTTAAATCCTCCCCTTTTCTTTTTATTTTTATGGGGGTTGGTGGTGCATGTTATATGCTTACCTTTTTTTTTTTTTCCGTTTTCATTTTTACAAATTTCTTTTTTTCTCCTCACCCCTCAATTCCTAGGGGCTTGAGTGAGTTTAAGACTGGGTCTTCTTGGAAATCACCTCTCTATCATTAATTTTAAATAATCTCTCCACCTCCAAAAAATTATCTTCCTCATTACAGTTTGGAATGTGGTCAATGAAAACCAAGTAGGGAGGATTTCTGGGGCAGACACTGCCGGATCAGGATCGTAGTTCTCAGACACGGAATGGTAGGTGGCTCTTTGCTCATTCTGGGTTCTAACCTGTTTTTGGAGGGTGGGGTGATGTCTATTCATTGCGCCTGGTGGAGTGGGAAAGGGAGCATGGGAAAGTGGAGAGAGAGATGGTGTGGAAAGCAGGTTAATCAAGCGAACTACCTCTGAAGCCACTAGCTTTTCTCTCTAGGCAGAACATTTCTTCCAAGACGTAGGCATGTTGAAAATCTTTCTGTTTGGAGTAAAGGGTGACAAAATGTGGGAAGGAAGCTTATTATCGTGACCAAGGGATTTTAGATCAATGTAGAGTTACAGAAGGGAAGAGAGAAACATACATATATTGGTGGTGGTGGTGGGGGCAGCTGTGCTTGATAGAAGTGCTGACCTCAGTTCTCCATATGTGAAATACTATGGGTCCCACAAAACATTTAACAATAATGTCACTTATTATCCATTTGTGCTTACTTCTTGACAGGTATACCTTAAATATGTTGGGACATTTTTATAGTTTAGTAAGAAATGGTGTGTATATATATATTTTAGTTGTAAAACTAATGACATTCCTCTTGTAGAGAGACTCTGGGCTAAATTTGGACCCAGGAAGGAACATAGAACAGGAGTCAGGTTAGAAATAAGAAGAAACATTGGCACTGCAGTCACATAGGTAAGGGGTCCCTTTAAGAAAGTGATCTCCTAGTCACAGCAGGAGCATATATATTTTTTTTTAATGGCAAGGTTCCCAGTTATTCTATGCTGGGATACTGTGTCCCCGAGAAATGTCAGAGCTTTTTCAGGGGAAAAAAAAGATGTATCATTAGAAAAGAGCATTGCAATATATTTATCAGAACTTATGTATCTGTGCTTTCAACAAAATAAATATGGTTTAATTGAAAATCTTCAAGCAAGTCAGGTTATAGACAATCTAAGAAAATTAAATGTGTGTGTATATATGTATATAAATTATATATATGTATATGTATACACACACACTTTTTTTTTTCTCGTCCTATATTTAAATCTAGAGATTGAGTCTCTGCTTTTACTCCCTTAAACAGACAACTTCCAAGGGTACAGCAATTTAGCTACAGAAAGAGCCTGACTTATCCCATGGCAGCAGGCTCTGAAGCAATCACAAGGTTGTTTACATGAGCTGCCTTTGCTGCAGAGCCTGACAGTGTCGTGCAGCAGTCTTGCCTGTTTCTCGTGTGTTGATGATAACTTTCATGAACAAACTGGAAGGAAGCAGGCTAAATCATATGGGACAGGCCACAGTTGAGACTGAAAGAAAATGGGTGTAAGTGCACCAGGCACTGCCTGCCCAAGGTCCAGTTTCTCCCTCTATCCCTAATCTGCTACTTGTCAGACCTTGGAAGATCTCCCAGAATGCTGATCAACATATTTAAAATGGTTGCAGTAAGGACCTTCTCTCTCAGAGAAGCTTCTGTAAGTGTTCTACCTTAGATGGGCATATATGTATATCAATACAGATAGTGTGCTCATGAATGAGCTTACAAAGCTTCCAACTCCACTCTGGAACCATTGGATTTGGGGGGCTGGGCAATTTGGATGAAGCAGTTCTGCACTCTCTGATATGTATTTCCTGCTCTGTCTTGACCTTACCCTTAAAATTGACTTAAAGTATTGGATTAGCTTATTTCACCACATGGAGCAAACTCTGTTTTCTCTTCCCCACAATGGGACTAGAAAATGAGATGACAAAGGTGGTATGACCTTAAATATTAAAGACTCTTTCTTCATGCTTCATCATTTACATATCATTCCTTCCCGCTGTTGTAAAAGTCTCTTTAATTTGAGAGGCTCCTGTTCTTACCAAATCTCGGCAGTTTTGTTAAAAAGATTCTTGGTGATGAGGCAGTAAGAAATTATATGTAGAGTGGAAAAATCAGCTGCCTACAGCTTCCTGCTTGCTTGCCCCAGAACAGCATCTGCTGCGGGGAGGAGTATGTTTGCCATGCTGGAAGGGGATGTTTATGAACAGATCCCAGAGGGACTGAGTGTTTTGCTGTCATTGTCTGGTATGTCTGCCGCTACTAGTATTTAATGGTTAGGTATGTCGTCAATATTTTTCAAGGTTAAAATGAACTGAGAGTTGATCGTGGATGCTATAAAATATAAATATTTTACATTTACAGGAAAATTAATTTGTTATTAGTGTATCCTGTAGAAATAAAACAAGCACAAGGAATTTGTCTAACCTAAGTAACCTGAAAAAGCATTCCATGTTTAAAAGCGCATATTTATTTTTAAAGTTTCATTATGGCTTCATGTGAATGAATCTGTTTCTTTGGATGTAAGCTTAGCTACAAAGTCTTTTTGTACTGATGATAAAAGATAACGAAAAATTAGGATTTTTCTTGTTTTTAGACATAGGGATAGGTATTCTTCCTTGTTCTAGCTTTGACCTCAGGTCACATAGTAGATAGAGGACTTGGAGTGGAATTGGTATGTTCAAATAGAATGGTGGCTTGGTTATTTATCAGAAAAACAAGAGAGACTTCCTTCAATTAGTATAAGTAAACAAATTGACACTTTAATTTCATCTTTCTTCATGGCCCCTTTTATTTCATCTTGCAGTCTCTTTTAAGCTTTGGGTTGGACGTTGCAATGGTCATGCAAAAAGAGGCACAAAGTGTCCAGTAATGACAAGAATGGAGTCCAGTGCTCTATTTGCTGCAGGCTTGCTGAGAACCTCCTTTCTTTCCCCTCATGCATTGATTATTGCACCTCCTTCTGAGCACCAAGGACTTGTGGAGAAAGTTGGGCCTATAGACTACTGGGAGAGATGCTTATTGGCAAAGAACAGAATCCATTTGTTTCTTTAGCATATTAAATATATTTATTGCATTACATAAGTCTGAGATGAGACACTGCTGCTGATTCAGATAAAAAATCGTGCTGCATATTGATTGTTTGAAAGCAAATGTAATTTAGAATTGGAGTCTGTGTTTTCAGAAATTCACCCATGTAATGCATGTTTTCTCAGGGAAGTCATAGATTTTGACAGAGATTTTTCAGTCTGAGTACATTTTACTCTTATGAGCAAAGAAGGGGAAAGCAAAAAGTATCTTTTGGGGACTAAATTTTTCATGCACTAAAAGGAGACAATCTTTATGTCTTATTGTGAATCTAGATAAGCAGAAACATCAGGTAATATAGACAATCTCTACATAGAAAGAAACAGGTTTGGAAGTAGTACTCAAACATACTTATTTTTGGTGAAGGATTTTCTAGCTTAATTGGCATTTTGGACACTTAAGCCTAACCTAAGTATGGCCTTTTTCAGCATTCTTATCCCTAGTTACTTACAGTGGAAAACCCATAGGTTTAAGGAAATAATACTTATAGGAATGGAAATCCAGGTTTTGAGTGGAAAAAGAAATGACTGAAGGCTCCTTTGGAAGCATTCCTGACTATAGCTGCTTTAAAATTAAAACCCTGTGCAGTGTGCCGGGTTAAGGCCAAACTCCCTGATAGGGTGACCAGGCATTTGCAGAGTAGACTGCATAGTAATAAATGTGATTTCTTTTTTTTTCCTCTCCCTCTTCTATTTCTCCTTTCTCTTCTTTTTCTCCTATTCCTCCTTCTTGTTATCCTTTCCTCCTCCTCCTTCTTTTGGGCTATAGGGGGAAAAATGAAAACAAAGCCCCAAACATCAGTGAATTGAAAGTACTAGAAATTCATCTTAGTGGCTTATCCTCATAGAAATAAAACTAACTCCCTGTTTATGGATGTTAACCTGATATGCCTCCTGACAGTGGGTTTCTTATAGTAAATGTCTTCACCTTATATATTGGAAATAGGATTTTAAACCACTGTAAACGAGGTCTGCTTATTTGGCAGTCTGCATTGAGTGTCTGTAGGAGGAACTTCTGTCATGGCACTTATCACACAATTCAGTAATTGCCTCTTCCTGTATTAGCTGTATTATCTGTATTCTCTACTGATTTATAATCTATGTCCCGGAATGATTTTGTCTGGCACATAGTAGGGACATAATAAATATTTATTGAATGAATATCTTCCATGCACAGAATTCTACTAAGTGCTATGAGAGGAAGAAAGTTTCCATAATCTGGTGCTTACAGATGTTTGGGGAGATGAGGATTTTGATTAAGGACCATATAAGTGGGTTAACAAGAAGTGCAATAAGAATTTAGAGGAGAAAGAAATTCAACTTCTCTGAAATGGTGATAGGTGACAATGGGGGCCACATTAAGACATTGGGGAGGGTTGAGATGGTGGTTGTGTGGGAAGTATTCCTAGGAGTAGTTGTAACTACTTGGCAAAGAAAGATACTCTTATTTGGGGCAGAGTTTATGTTGGGTGTGGTGACCATACTCTCCAAACCAGAAATCAAAACTTATGGCTTAACAATTGGTAGAATATTGAAAACTGGCACAGTTCAGGAACATTTGGTCCAATTTAATGTGGGGCGTAACAGGTACTAAGGTCAAATAGCAGGTTTGTTGCTGAATCAGATAATGGAAGGACATTAATACAAGTGTCTTTCCAGCTTTCAACAAATTTCAGGCTACTTTTACTCTATTTAACATACTTCAGAGGTTTTCAACACTTTCCTCCTTTTATTGGTAACTATGTAATCCATTGTTCCAAGGAAATCTTATCTGAAAATCAAAATATGTAAATACATGTAACCTGGTATCCATCATAGTCGAGGCTCAATTGATGCTTTTTATTATAAAACTAAGTTCGTGATCATAAAACCAAGTATCATATTGACCCAAATGACAATTATTAATTGGATGATTGTTAAGATATTAAAATATCTAACTGATCTGATATTTATAATGTCAGTGTTCTTGTGCTTGCAACAACTTCTGAACACTACCTTGAGATGTTTTATTTCTTCCTCGTGCACCTTGCCACCTGAAAATTATTCTTATTCTCTTTGATGTTATTCTTTGGTTTTTAAGTGCAGATAAAATTTCTTTTTAAGTCTTAAAATCAAACTCATCTGTTTTTTGGCTTTGATTTTAGGCTAGCGTGAGAAATATCAACAGCAGGACCATCTCAGATCTTGGTTATGGCAACTCATGCAGGAAGCTGTTGAATTAGACCCATTTCCTATAGATGAGAAACCATATAAGCAGTGGTAAGTTGGAAATTTAAAAATGTTCTTTAACAGGACATCTAGATCTGCATAACCCATTTACATATCACACCTGGTTTAGCATATAGATCCAAGGAAATACTGCTCCAAACAATGCTATCTAAAGTGGAAATCTACAGGATAGAATGTTGAATTGATGGTGTGGTACTACTGATACCACATATAGTAGTATAAAATCTTGACCTCATGATACTACCATCAGGGACCATACCAGCTTACGTAAGTTGCCCACAATTAACAATTTCATATGGCAGGGACATATGAGTTGAAAAACACTATTTTAAAGTGGCTTTTCTTATTTGTACCTTAATACTATATTTTATTGATTAAACAAACTCCTTTTATAGAAAAGTTGGTTCTGATAAATTGTAAGGCTCAATTCCTTTTATAAACATCCCCTACCATTTAAAGCTTCAGAAAAAAAGAGAAAGGAAATCACATCACAGTTTTATAAGATACAATTTATGGACATTTTAGCCTATGTATCCTCTTGCCTGAAAAAAAGAATATCAAAAATAGATCCAGTTGCTCTGCCTACTTGGACTAATTTTTAAAAAGCTTATTATTTTATAAAAATATTAGCACACACAGGCAGAATACATTTTTAAATCAAATTCTTGATGCTTCCTACTCACCAAAGTCAATAATCAATATACTCAAGCAGAGATGAATGAGTTATAATCTGTCAAATACCATCTTTGAGAAATAGACTATGACAGTGGTGCTTGTAAGGCTCCAAAAGAAGCTGTTTTGAACTAATGATCAATATTTCTCTTTCATTTGCCTAGTGGCTTATATAACTCTACATGGGCAGGCTGTCCTATGACTTAATACATAACATCTAGCTACAGTAATCTGATGAAATTAACCCTATTGTTGTTTCACATCAATTCACATAATTTTTATAGTCTGCCTACATATTTTTTGAGAAAGCTTATCTGATAGTCATTTTGCTATACTTAATCAAAATTCAATGAGTACTTGTTAGAAGAAGAAATCATATAATGATCAATATTTTTTGACCTAAAATAAGGGCAGTATTATATGGTTAAACTTAAAATGTTGAATTATGTGTAATTCTCAATGATGTAGAAAGTATATATTGCCGCATTCTAAACATTTATTCATTAAGGAAATAGTTATTTAATTTGTGATGTATTTATCATGCTTAGATTTGGAATAGATGAAAGTCTCTGCTTTAATAGAGTTTTCAGTCTAAATAGTGCCATGCATATAATAAAATGTATTTTTAGTGAGGCAGATATAAAGAGTGTGGTATTTACCCAGTGCTGCTACATTGGTAGACATAGGAAGTACAGTGGAGGAAAATCTAGCATGGATGTGGTTGGAATTAGTCAAGGAAGGCTTTCCAGAGGAAGTGACATTTTAGTTTAATGTTAAGTGCAGTAAGATGTTAGCCTGAGGAAGGGTGGGATCATTGCATGATGGGAACATTTTTCAATAGACTGGAAACTTGAATGAGCATGATTGTTTGGAGGCACTAGATACCATTTCCTATGCCAGAACATAAATGGTAGTGGCAGAGATGTAATGAAGAGGGATATAGGAGACATCATGAAAGATCTTTTAGACAAAGGTAAGGAGTTTGGATTTGATCCCTAAGTGAAGAGCTTTTTAAAGATTTTAAGTAGGAGAATGATATGATCAGTTTATTTTTTAATCATGAAATATACACATAGAAAAATATATTAAACAAATATGGGTTAAAGAATAATTATAACCCACATTTTATATACTACTCATACTATGGAATAGACTCCCAATAAACCCCTGGATGCCACTTTCCAATCACATGCTTTTCCTTCCCCACCAAAGAAAACCACCCATGACTAAACTGCCTTATGTTATGTTAATTTCCTGCTTTTATTTGTAGGCTTCCCATCTACAATGTGTGTATGTCTCCACTATACATCTTAGTTTCCTTATGCTTCAACTCCATTTTATTTGTAATCAGTGTATATATATATATAATATATATATATTATATATATATTAATGCACAGAATATTAATAAATATGACTATTAATATATTAATATACACAGTATGTATGTATACATTAATATATATATATATATATATATATATATATATATATTATTAATCACTTGATAATTGTGCTTAACATCGTGAAATTCTCCCATGTTCATTCATGAAGCTTATTCATGCAAACTACTGCTTAGTAGTCTACTCTAATATACCAAGAGTTTACTTACTGGTTCTACTGTTGATGAACATTTGAATTGTTTCTATGTTACTCATACTACTATAAAATATATAATATCACTTTTTATGTTAACACACATATTATTGCTCATAGATTCTTCCCCACACAGGTAAGCACTCCTCGAGGCTAAATACCAAGAGAAGGAATTACTAAGTTTTGGGGTATGTACACCGTTAATTTTACTAAAGAATTCCAAAATACTTTTTCCAATTGGTTACACTCTCAGAAGTGGTATAGGAGAAACGCTACATCCCCGCCAACACTTGATTTACAAGTTCTTAAGCTTTTCTAATCAGGTGGATACATAATTACACTCATTGAAGTATTCATTTGCATTTTTCTGATTGCTAATGAAGAGCATCTTTTCATTTTTTATTGGCCATTTGATCTTCCTCTTTTGTGAAGTGCCTGCTGAAATCTTTTCTGAGATTTGTTTTTCAAAATAATAAATAACATTTTTGGTGTTCTTACTGTGTAATAGGCACTATGTTTAGCACTTTATAAACATTTAATCTTCCATCATCTCTATGTTTTACAGATGAAGGAACTCAGGTTTTGAGAGGCTAAATAAATGCTGACATGTACACAGTTAAGAAACAGTGGACTTAGCATCCAGTGCTAGGCTAGGTCTTTCTGATGGCAGTGTTCTTTAGTTTTGTGGAGTGCTTGGAAGAGGATTACATTGGAGCCAGAGAGAACAATACAGGTGCAAGAATTTTTGGAAAACAGTAAGGGCATAAACCAAAGAATTGTTAGTAGGGCATATGTGCCACACAACTAGACTTGGTAATGAATGTGGTGGATAAAGAAGAGGGAGGATTTAAAAGGTCTCAAATTTTGACACCCATTGGTGTAGCAGATTCAATTTTAGTTGCACAGTGTATGCTTATAGTCTGGGCATTATGGTAGATTTTAAGAACTATAATTAAGTAAGAGATGATTTTAGTTTACAGGTTCATCAATTTTAGGGTTTAAAGAGATCACAGTGTTTATTTGGGTCAAATGTGCTTTTTAAAGATGTGGTATGAGCGGCTAAATAAGGGTAAGTGGCTTGTTCAGGATCACGTGCTACTAAGTGTCAGGCTAAGAATAGACACTAGGGCTGGGAAAAAAAAGTGAAGAAATAACAGCCACTTGACTTTTAAATTAATACGTGAAAATATAGTCAACCTATTTTATTTCCTAAATGTTTCTCAGGTCAATCTCCTTTGATCCTTAATATATTATCTATCATTGCCATGATTTAGGCCCTGATCATCATTGCCAGCAGGTTTATTTAAGTGGCCTGACATGATATCTTTTCCAATTCTACCAATGAAGTCACAGATTTTTAAATTTGATCTGAGGTTACCATCCAATTTACCAGCTTAAAGTTTCTTTGATATGCTTTATCCCTCTATGTAATAATTTCCCTTCTCCCTAAAATATACCATATTCCTGTCCACCCCCATTTTAGAGACTAATGCCCTCTTAAATTGCCTGCGGACATCAATATGCTTTAGTTTCATCACATACACACTCAGGCATTTCTTACCTCTGATATTTGCTTCATAGTGTCTATTCTACCTATATTCACTCCATCTATCCTTATAGATATCCCCCAACTTATGATGCTTTGACTAATGACTTTTTGATTGTGCAGTGGTTCAAAAGTGGAACTAGGAACTGGTTCAGTAGGAACTACATATTCAGTAAGGACTATATATCAAATTTTGAATTTTGATTTTTTTCCCCTAGTGATATATGCTGTATGGATGTTCTTTTATGATATTAGGCAGTAGCAGTGAGCTGTCAGTCAAATGAGACATGCAACCCTTTATTATAAAATAGGCTTTGTGGTGGATGATTTTGCCTGACTGTGAGCTAGTGTAAGTGTTCTGAGCATATTTAAAGTAGGCTAGCTGAGCTATAATGTTTGGTAGTTTAGGTACACCAAGTGCATTACTGACTTAGGATATTTTCAATTTCTGATAGATTTGAGTGGGGACATAACTCCATAGTAAACTGAGAAGCATCTGTACTTAGACATTGTTATCCTTTGAAATATTTGCCACTCTAAGATGATCTATGGACCAGCAGCATGGGCCTCTCCTGGGCTTAATAGAAACAGAGCATCTCAGATTCTTCGGAGACTCACTGATTCAGAATATGCATTTTAACAAGGCTCTTAGGTTTTTATGCACATTATAGTTTGAGAGTTACTGCGTAAACTTGTTTTAGATTGCATGAGATGGCTTCTCCTGAAAATCTTTCCTGATTCCTTCCATTTAGCATTTCTTTTCAGGGCTCTCAGTCACCTGTGCATATTTACTCACAGAGTTACCACAATGGCCTATTATCTGCTTATGCATCTGCCTTGCCACTCCATCTTAGCCAGGGAGTAATTTGAGCCAGATTGATTAACCTTTTGATTTCCCCTCACATAGCACAGTGCCTCATACTCTGTACTTGGAAGGCACTGCATAAATATTTGCTGAAGGACAGCTTGATGAAGGAAGGAAAAATGAGAAAGAGAGAGATATACAGAATGACAGAAACAGAGACAGGACAAAGGTGGACTCAGGAGGAAAAAAAACACAGGAGACTTTCATAGAGAAATACTTTGATTATATAAAGGCACTAAAAATTGTACCTCTGGATAGAGTCTGAAAACCTATTATTTAAATAGGTTAGGTTAAAAGGCCAAATGTTTTCTCTGATATATGTATGCTAATTCACAATAAGGGGTGGGGGGA